TCCTCTTTTTTCCTAACATTTCAACTTCTGGAAGTCTTTAAAAATTCTTGTATTTTCCAAAGATTTGCTTTTGAAATGAGATGCATTTTTCATGTTCCTGTGCTGACAAGTCATTATCACTATGCATCATCAACTGTGGTGAAAGCACTTTGCTCTGTGTCCTTGGGTTATACTGGTGAGATATTAGAGGAAAGATGTTCATGCTAACAACCTTTTTTTTTTTTTTTTTACGACACATACAATTCAGTCATACAGTAATGTCAACTCAGCACAAGAATGATAATGGAGTAATTGTTGCAGGGAACAACTCAGAGATCTAAATCATCTGCAGAGCCCCTATCCCTGGGATGTCAAACTCTTAGCCTGCTAATTAATTACTCTGGCCTCTATATCAGATAATAGTTCTACAGGAAGTCTAGATATGATTTGGGAACAGATACACTTCTAGATATGTGAATGTAAATAAAATATTTGGAAAATATTTTGAAGCAGATCTAGCTTTTCAAGCCTACTGATGTGTTATTCTGATAATTGTAAACTATCCTGTTCATTTGATTTGGTTTAGGTTTGGAAAACGTAGATGATGATGCCATCGAATATAACAAGATTAAGATGCAGAATTCTAACAACTTTTAGAATATCCTTATCACCCGTTTCCTGTCATTCTAAAACATTAACTATATTGCTGGTGATTTAAAGCAATGCTGATATAAAATATGATATGAAAAAGAAACAAGTTTAAATTATGAGAATTGGGTGTTAAATGCTTATGACTAGAGTCATAGCTAGTGTAATTCCATATATGATCATATTTTTGCAATTTTCTAGAAGTTCTGATCTTATTTATCTTTATCAGTTTAATAATCATACTTAATTTATTTCCAATAAGCAAAGATATTTAAAGGACCAGCTTGAAAAAGATTGGAATCTGTTGGAGAAATCTGAGATTTTCATCTCTACTTTGTAGCTACTGTATGCATGAATAAACACTTAGTTTATCTGTTATAAATTCTCATAATTATATAAGCAAATTAAGGTCTGCAACTGCATTTTGGTTTTTAAAACCAAAATTAATTATGACATAATATTAATATGTAACTTAAGCTCCTGTATAACGCTAACCAGGTTTTCATATAGTGTCTTCCTTGATTTATCAAATAGTTTTAAGTTAAACTAAAGCATATATCTTGGGAAAAAATTCAGTATTTGTTTAAAGCCCTTAACCGAGAGAATTTATTACAGTTTTAGGTTATCTATTCAATGGTTAATTATTCAATAATTTTATTTTAATTTGAACTTCACTAACTTCAGTTTTCCAGCATGTAATGTTGTGGGAGTTTTCTACTAGATTAGAGTTTTCTGCTATCAGTGTTTGTCTTCTTACAGGTAATTACAGAACATGATCAAGCTAGTTCTTGTCTCTGATTAATCACATTAATTTGGCTCCATTTGGTCACTCAATGTAAGTGTGTAATCAGACAATTCCTTTAGGAGTTTTTCATGGCCAGTCCAAGCAAATATGACACAATGTGTTTTCATTAATGTCTGCAAACTCAGGCCAAACACTTTGTGAGAACTTGTAATGGATTTTAATTGTAAAGTGACATAGTATTTAAAATAAAATAAAATAAAATTAGCTATTATCTTCCTAAATTGAAGGATGAGGGATTCTTACCCTGAAATGAAAGGCAAACTAAATATTGTGGAGGAAACAAACAACTGATAAAGAATTTGTGAGATAAAAAAAATAGCTTTAAGTATAAGGTGTTTCTGAACAGAGATATAAGGAGATCATATTAAGTTCTTAGGACCTTTTAAGTGATAGTGGAAAAAATTCAAGTCCTTCTCAAATAGCTCCATCTGCAAAAGTGAAAGAAAAGAATGCATAAAAGTGCGCTTGTGCATCATCTTATACACTAATGGAGTTAATTTATTTTAGAGGATTTAAAATTTTGATTTAACTTCTTTTCAGAGAGTAGCTGAACAAGCAACAAACATTACTATGATATAGAGTGATATAAAAATTAGCTACTTCATAGAAAAGTCCTGTTGTGACATAGGTTATAGTTTCAAAGATTAAAGAATAATTTTTTTCCCCTCTGGAGTTACTTTGAGAACACAGTCTTGCCAGAGTTTGGAGTTTACATCAGTAACACACATAGATGCTGTTTCTTGATAGGAATGTCTTTTCTATAATTTATTGATGTTCTGCCTCAATGCTGCAACCTATGTACCACGTTATCTTTATTACTATTCAAAGTCCATTGATGTAGAAGATAAACCATATTCCAGTTCTGCTAGAAAGATTATTTTCTCTTTTCATGTATACAGGTACATTTTTTTCAAAATACATTTAAGAGAAATACCTTTATAAAATAAAGGTGATCAATCCTTGTCCTAATTACATATTGTTAAAACAGTGTTCTGTCTGTTGATTTTGCTCAGGGTATATAAAACAAGGGGATTATTGACCAGCACAGCCGTTTTCCTCCATTGTGTAAATCCTCCTCAGTTCAAAGATTATTGATCTGAAAGACACCAACAGCTCCTTTGGGTCCACTGCAGCCTGTTGATGCGGTCACCACATAGGGCAAAAAGTCTACCTGCTAATAAACCTTAAGAAACACTGCTTGGAGGAAAAAGTTACTGAACCTTGAAAAGGAGAAGTTCCTCTCAATTAAATACCCCTATTACACCCACAAGCATCTGTACAACAGTGTTTGGATTGTTAGGACTCAGAAAAAAGTAGTGAGGAAAGGAAGAGAGCTTAAAGAACCCCTTTTCTTACAGGGTTGGGTTTTTTTGTGGTTTTGTTTGTTTTGGTTTGGGGTTTTTTGTTTTTTTTTGTTGTTTTTTACAGTTACAAAGGCTTAGAAATATGTCATTTAAAGAAAAAACATACTATGGAAGTACATTCAGAAACAAGTCACGTTACAAACATGGTCAGACAGTGTAATATCATTCGTTACACATGCTTGAAAAGATTCATTCATGCCAGGATTCAAGATGGATTTTTTTGTCTTTTCCTCAGAAAACAAAGACTTCCACTTTTCAACTCTAAGGTTTTTTTGACTTGAAATTTGAAGCAATGCTATAAAGGGACCTCAAAATGCAATAGTTATTGCAATTATTGATCATGATGAACAGCAAGGAAAAGTATTTCCAAGCATTGGCTGCATCCTGAAATCCAAATTCCTAGTTTGCTAACAAAATAAATTTTTGGCTTAAATTCTTAGTGCAATCACAGGGAAGGAATGTAGGCTTATAATAACTGGTTCCTAAAAATAGAGGCCATTTAAATTAGGCAGCCATTTTATAACAAATCTCTGTTTGCCTTTGGGAAAAAACACAGGACTCCAACTGTTGTGCAGGTTGCAATAATTAGACACTGACTGACACGCCAATGCAATTACTCAATTCTTTTGGCCAGGATCATTTTCAGAGGCTGTGTACTGATAAAAGAATACACTGAGGTTTTCATAAACTTGTGCCTGTGAACTTCAAGAAAGTCTTTTTCTTCTAGTCAGAGCCTACCCATTTTCCTTGTCTCCAACTCTGAAGATTTTTACCTGATGTTCTTGACTTTCTAAGTCATTATCAGACTTTTATTCTGGCTTGTTTCTTTCTGTCAGGATTTTTCCTCCTTTCTCTGAGCAACTGTTAAAAGCCAGATTATACACAGTCTTCTAGAGCAAACATGACACATACTTTTATTTTACTAAGAAATCAGGAATTACAAATTAATAACTTCCCTGGAAAACTTGCTAGATATTTCTAAGATATTCCAATATTTATCTGTGTGTGTTGGTTTATTTTAAATAAGTATGTGTTAGGAGGTTTATTTTACTTTAAAAAAGAGGAGTTAATGCTTGTTTTCTTTAGCTAACATCTAGTGATTAAAGGCTTTTCACTTTACCCAAAGCCTACAGCAAGGAGGTGTGCAATGTCTCTTCACTTAGTGTGGGGTATTTGTAATTTAGTGTCTAGCATAAACAAAGTCCTAGAGATGAAGGTTGCCAACACACCAACTGAATACCCTATCCCTTATTTTCTTTTTCTTAACAAATAAGTTGTTTTGACCTCTTAATAAAATCCAATCTTACACGAATTTCATTTAGCTCCATCAGGTCCTCCTTCAAATTAAGGTAGTGGTAATAGAAACACATTTTCAGCACCATGTGATTTTCAGTATCATTTAACTCAAATTCTTCCCACACTTGTACAACTTTCATACATATGCATATTTCAGTTTTATGTCTGATAAGGTAGTATACTTTTAAATAAAATTATGTTTGTGCATTTATTTCTAGCAGAGCAGAATCGTTAAAGGAAATAGGGAATTTTGTGTCTCCCTTCCTGATTAGAGAATGGACTGAAGGAGCTGCTTTTTATCCAGAGCCCTGCAGAAACTGATCTGAAAGGAAAACATGAAGCTTCGAAATGGATCCTGTGAAATGAGTCCTACAAATATCAGGCGGTACAATAGCAGAATTATCTCTTAGTAATGCCAGGCATACTGCACAAAAAGGACAGCACCAACCCACTGAACTCATCTAAAAAAAAAAAAAAAAATCCATTAAAAGGCAAACCTCTGTGGTTAAAATAGAAAAGCTTTTTTCTTCCAAATTGCAGCTGCTAAACTAAGCTCAACTTTGCAGCTAAAATGAAATGATTTAATCCTACACCACATGAAAAGCGAATGTCAGCAATTAAGTCAGACTAGAAAGCTTTGTTAGTGAAGGAATGCCTGGCTGGAACTTGCCCTCAAAGGCTTTACAAGGGAAACAGTCTTTTGTTGAGGCAATCTCTTGACAAAATACAAAAGAAATAAACTGATAATGGATTGGCACTTCAGGGAAACCAAAGGCTTTTAATAAAACTGCTCTGGACCACCCTCCTCCTCCTAAATATCAAACTCTCCATGATGTAACCTTCCAGTAACCTTGCTGGGATGCCTGGCAGTGCGATTCACCAGGACACCCCTATTCTTCTCTTTTCAGGCTCCTGCTTACATGGCTATTGGCAGTGTCAGAATGGCAAATGTTACAGACCAGAACAAAGCTGTGATTTTGAAGACAACTGTGGGGATAATACAGACGAGAGTGAATGTGGAACTTCCTGTGACTTTGAGAACGGCAGGTGTGGCTGGCAAAATTCCCTGGCAGACAATTTTAACTGGGTGCTAGGGGTCAGCTCGCCTCAAAGTCTTAGACCTCCCAGGGACCACACGCTGGGAAATAGAACTGGTATGTCGTCAGTTCACAAACAAGATGTAATTGTCTTCATGGAGCTTCTCATACCTTCCTTCACAGGCAGCAGGGGGGGTTCTAAAATGTCTAATTAGGGTGTTGTTTATTATGCATGTATCAAAATATTATTTGCTGTTGTCAAATTACTTTAAGCTAGGAAAAATTGATTCTCAGTTGTTTCTTCTTTAAGAATTGCTGTATGAGTCAAGCAAGGTAATTTGTTATGTGTCAGGAGAGAGGCATTTGGTCTGGCTGCAGTTTGCAAGGGTGAGTTAGCTCAGTTCTGAGATCCACTGGGTCCCACTCTTCTGGAGCTTGAGCTCATTTCCAGGAAGCTTAAAGTTACCCATAGTGACTATTCATAGTTTAATTTAGGGTAATTTTAAATAAATAAACATCCTTTTTTAGCTCCAGCGTAGCTCCTCGTTTGTTTTAGCCAAAACACCCATTTATCTGTTCTTGTTCTTACTGTAAGCTCTGTGCCTTTGTCCTCTACCTTTGAAGGTCCCATAGCTCAGGCAAAGCCGTTACTGAAGCTGAGCTCAGAACTGATCTTAAATTGAAATATCCCACAGCAGAATTGCGCAAAGGCGTGGGACTTGTATTTAGTAGTTGTTGAATGTTTACGTGAACTGCTGAAGGCAAAAACCCCATAAAACCAAAGTTTACTTGAAGACTTTGGTGAAACATTGGAACAGCCTGCCCAGAGAGGGTAGAAGCCCCATCCCTGGGAACATTCAAAGCCAGGTTGGATGGGGCTCTGAACACCCTGATCTGGCTAAATGTGTCCCTGCTCACTGCAGGGGGTTGGACTGGATGGCCTTTACAAGCCCCTTCCAGCCTGAACTATTCTATGATTCTGTGATACATAGAAACTCAGGGCCTAGTGAAAGCTTGCCAAGGTGACTGAACATGAAATAGGCACAAATAATCACAGAGGTTATTTGTTCATATGTTTTTAAATTTTGAGGTAGTCAAGCCTGGCTGCATTTCACTGATCTCAAAGTAAAATGCAGTAAAAAAAGAACTGCCCTCCAATGTGTCCCTGTCTTTCATTCAGTTTTTAAAATAGCGAGTTCTGTTAGAATACAGATTTATGTATCTCTGTGATATATATGTTGAATCTGCTCTGCATATGGATAAAATTACTGCTGATCTAATTATCAAGCATAGAAAATCTGAAAGTTAAATGTTTTTGTTCTGGTGAGTTATCGAACAGGTCAAATTATCCATTTCCTACTCAAGAGATGCTCTGTAGTCTTGAATTTCCATTCTCAAATAAATGTAATTAAAATTAATTTGACTTTTCACAGTTTTGATGTGGTCAAATATTTAGAGGTGAAGATGGTATCTGGCCACATAGCTAGAACTGATAGCACTTAATAATTTTGTTCATCATGAGAGAACCAAAACAAAATTCAGCTCCACTGTCACAAATTTTTCATATGTGGTAGAGAATACTGCAGTATTCGTTGATTGATCCTTGTACAAAAACAAATTTCAGCGCTGAGTCCAAACCCATAGCTCTTGAGCTTACAATTAGCAATTCCTTAATTCTAACTCCGCTATTAGCACCTCTGGTTTTAATATTAAAATACTGAAAATTTGCTTATGACTAGAATTACATCATTCTAGTTGGAATTAAGTGGTTTGTCCTATTACCTCCTAGCCAAGCTTGACTAGCTGTCATCCTTCCACTGTCCCACAGTGCTGGTCCCAGTCATTCATATCAAGGGGACTTTCAGTGTGTCCCTTGTCTGCCACCTCAGCCAGTCAAGTTTCCTTCCAAAGACTGTGGAAGTTTTTTGGGTTGGGTTGCTTTGGCTTGGTTTTCTCCAAAGAGAAGTAATTTGCCTGATATTAAACAGGCATTAACGAAGATCAGGATGCTCAGCACTCAGCCCAGTCTAGTCACATTGTCCTAGAAGACATTGATGCAATGACATGGCATGCTTTTGATATCTCGTAGTGTTTATGTACATGGCTTTTTTAACACACAAGCCAACAGATGTAGAAAAAATCAGTTCATTTGTATTTTCTCATTATGTATTTTTTTAAAAATTATCATGAATATGTCACTACACTTGTTAAATACATGCTTCATGTTAGGGGAAAAAAACAAATTTCTTATCCCGTAATATTACAGCAAACATCTATGATTGTAACTTAGCCACAGAAGTGTCAAAGTTTGAATGAACCCTTTTGTACTCCATCTCTAATGAAGTAATTTTTTTTTCTCCAATTCATATACAAAATTTAACAGATGTGCAATTATAATTTAACAGTGTGTTATTTATACTACATATATGTTTATGTGAACTACACATTTGGTTTTTGTACAAAGGAAAAAACCAAAAACTGATTAAAAATAAAAAAAAAGAAAACTCAGGGACCATATCAGTGTTGGAAAATATTAACTGTAGTTGTCTATTTTTGCAGTTCTGTCTGACTAAATAATTTAAATGTGGGTTAATATTCATACATTAAAGAGTACAGATGGCCAAAGGTAACATAAATCATTAGGGATACCTAATGATTTACAAATATATGAAGGTGTTTTTGCCTGTTTCACAGGTTTTTGACTTGCTATTTTGAAGGTTATCTTTCCAAAAACTTCATCCTGAAATTTATCCTGGTGTGGCTATTCTGTGATGTAGCGTCAAAATAGCAACTAATGCTGTTGGACAAGTACATGCAATCAGAGTAGCTGAGAAACATGGAAGCATTCTCTTTCTTATCTACACAGGCCAATCCAAATATTTAGCTGATCCCAGTTTATTCCTGGTATAACAGGTACACAAGGAATGTGATCGAGTCATCTTTTACCCTAAGCTTATGTTCACTAGTATAGGACATATATGGGAGGTATACTTCATATGTCTCCGCATTTACTTTGCTGAGGTTGTGAATTTAATTTGAAGGTCCAAAACTATCTTTCAATAATATATCAACTAATTTTAGGACAATTCCTGTATCTTGAGGCCACTGCAATAGGACTAAAAAATGAAAAAGCCCATGTGAAGAGTTCCAGATGGAAAGAATCCAGTGGGATTTGCGTGATGAGCTTCTGGTATTTCAAGTCATCTAAGGCCATGGGACATATTCAAGTTCTGATTAAGGTAAAAAACCCACACCATCTTTTATTTTTGAATATCTGATATCTGTAAAGGTGTATGTGCTCCAGCAGAGTCCTTTGGCAGTCTGACGTTCTCTTGTTTGACTTGTAGATTGCAAAAGCTCCCGCAGGCCTCCTGGTTAAGTGCTGGTTTTTGTCATTCTAGTCTCTTAAAAATGCTTTTACCGTTTTTCTTCCAAAAGAAGTTTCTCTGAAGAGCCACATAAAATCCTTTGAAAACATCTTTCCATTTTCCCTCTTCACATACAGTACCTTTCTCTTTGATATTCTCCACGAGAGCTATTTTCATATTTTGCTGCCATCCCTATTGATAGCTATCAGTGTACAATCCTGTCATTCTGATGGAATGGTATCTACAAAAAAAAAAAAAGAATTAGCAACCTGCACAAAGTGAGAATAAAATGCAAAAATTATGACTCTATTAAATTATTTATCTTTTTATGTAGACAGGTACAGGATATATAATTGATTCTCTTTAGAAATGGCATATTTTTTGCTAAATGTGGGATGACCAAAAATTATAAACAAGTGAAAACTGACATGTTTCTTGAAAATTGAGTATTCAATAATTGAGTTATTTGTTGAAAAGAAAAAGTATTAAATGCTTGTGAAAGCATGTTTTAAGTTATAATATGATTTGGAGTAAAATGTAGAAATTAATGATCAGTGTAGCAAAAGCATGTAGTTCACCTCCCTGTGCATATTATGCGTTTTAATGCCACCAGGCATTTTAATGGTGTTCCAACACAGTGACCAAATATACCACTTCTAGATGTAGTAGAAACCTTTGCAAATGAGAGTGTGTATTTGTGCTTACATGTACCTGTGCAGTGAGTTCTGGTTATTCAAGTATAAATCATGATGCAATTTATCTGCCATGTGTCTGTTAACTTCTCTTTCTTCAATATCTCTAATAGAATCTTGGGGTAGAAATTATTTTGGTGAACTGCACTAAAATTTCTGGTTTATTTCTAATGCATGTTAACTGCCTTAATTTTTAATGATAAAACATATTTTGTCCTTGAAAATTAATTGCTAAAAATGGTTTCTCAAGTATTCTGGAAATTATAAGAATAGTTCAAAAGCTTGGAAGATACAACACTTCAATAGTCTTTACATCTAAAGACACAGCCTAGGCTAAGTCTGTCTGAAATATATAAAAACAATGAGCCCTTTGACAGCTTTAGGAGACTTTTTTCATGGATTAGTCCAAACACCTCCAAGAGGCCACTCATCAAGTAGTTGTATAGTTATTGAGATGTATTTACACAGCTACTTTTCCTAGAAAAGCTCAAATCCATCTAGGATGCAAGTAGATTAAAAAAAAAAAATTGTTGTTTGAAAATAACTTTTATTTTGTGATGTATTCAAAAATTAAAGAAAGATAGATCCCATTATTTAAAATTAATAAGGTGCAAAAATAAACATTTATTTTCACTCAAAGTTCAAATTATGTTCTCATTGCTTTACGCAAAGGTGTGTCTTGTAGCACTCAAATATTGCAATTATGAGCATTTTAAAGATTGCTCAATTTTAATTGCAAACTAACTTTGATGGAAAATAAATAGCAGCTGCATTAGGTATGTGTGAGTAGTTTGCACTTAAATTATCACTGTTGGTTGCGTACAGTAATTATCTCATTAAGTATGTTGCAGCATGGACAGTTGCCTTAAAACCAGAAAAATAACTATATCTTGTCTTATCACGTGCAGTGAAATTAATAATATACATTCAAATACTTCTGTTAAACGGGAGACAAAGAAGTGAAATAAAAGAAAATCAAACAAACTGCATGACCTAAAATGAGTTAGAAAGGCATTCGTTTTCTGTTGGGATATTGTCTTGGAAGGGCTCAAGTCAAGTAGCTGAAATTCCTAATTATTTTTTCCACCCTCAGGATGGACAAAGGGATTTAAATTTTAAATTTTTTTTTTACAAAATTGACGTGAGCAGAGTTTTGCTGGGTAGTTATCCCTGTTGATAGGAGCCTGTAGAAAATATTTTCTACTTTACTTTTTAATATTTTCTTGAAAGATAATGTTCAAATATAGGAATTGTATGGAATTTTCTATATCATGATGAGTAATACTTCCTTTCTCTAGGTTTTGGGAAAATTCTTTTTGTTTTCTCTTTCTTTTATTCTTATTGCAGTGACACATAGTCCTCTTCTTATTTTCACCTGGTTTGACTATCTTAATGTACTTTTCAGACATTATTTTTATGTTATTTTAAATCCCTGTCTCCAGGGAGCTTAGAGCTTTTTAAAGGAAGTGTTAATAGAAGACATTTGATTAACCACTTATTATTATTCATTTTTTTTAGTGAAGGCAAGAATTCTACATGGAGATAGGAAAAATTATTCTCATATTTGTATCCAGGATTGTTTTGCAGATCAGCCTAGTTTACCTGTTATTTGGCTTGTAAGGATTTTTAAGTCAATACTGTAATTAGAGCTTCTATTTAGCAGCTTCTGTATGAATAAAATCTAATTAAACAACACATAGTCATGGGAAGTCATATCGAAGCTTCTGCTACTTCAAACTGCAATACCATTATAATTCCATCCGGTTTGAGCATCTCTTGATTTAAAGTGAAATTAGCATCAGTGAAAGCAGACCAGTAGATTGTGATTAGCTGAAAATGTAAAGAGGAGGATATGACTCGGGAAAGAATTTACCATCTCAAGTTTGACTACTAAGCAAACTGTCTCTAGCTAGAGTCATCAGGCCCACTAAAAGCTGAACTGAGAGTGAGCACTGTACAAACCAATGGCACAGAAATGAACAATATGATGAGGAAATACTGTATGGAGGCAGAATGAGGAAGATACTTCTCGTCCTCCTGAATATCACAGTGGAAGAAAAATGGTAATTGAGAGTAAAAAGCCATTTTTTTTAAATGTTCATGGTATGTATTGGTGTCTTCTCTTAATATTTACATTTCTTGTCAACATTCAGGAAGGTTTAGAATATTATCTATCATGCTACTAAAGTAGTATTTCAGATTATGATATAACCGATAAAACTGCAGGATCATAAAAGGGATACCACTGCCAAGCATTAACTTTTATGTTAAGGTTTGCAGTTAGAGAAAACAAATTCATTTTCTATGGGAATTTCTCTGCAGTTACTAGGGTTTTTGTGTCTCCTCAAATTGTACTACATATTCTTTGTATAAACTTCTGTAAAGAGAATAAAAATCCAAGCAAAATGATGGGTCGTTGAACTAGTTGCAAAAATACAGTATTCTTCAAATCAACCTCCCTCAACATTTATGCAAATGAAAGATTTTGACATAGCTATTTATGGAGACTGTATATCCAACTTACCATCTGTCTAAATTGAAATTACAAAGTGTTTAATAGCAGTGCAAAATCTCACCTGGCAAACATAATATCAGAAGAGATCCGGATATAACTAGTCAAAACTTTACTATTGCAGTGAGATTTTGAGATACTTCTAATCTTCTCTGTGGCAGTTGTAAGAGAATACAGTCCATTGAAGGAGATATTCTGAAGCTAAAGTGCAGCATAGTCACTATTCCTGTTTTAGCAGTGATGGTGGGGTTCCTCATCGTCACTCAATACGAGTTTATTTTATGGGTCGAAAGAAACCGTGTTATTTTTAAACCTGCTTCTAAAGAGGCAAGCAAGATTTCTTAGGTGAAAAGAATGATATATTTTATTGTTCTGCTGATCTGAACATAAGTTTCCTACTGCTGCTTAAGCTGTTTCTGTCATAAAAAAGAAGCAAGTCTTAGGTATCATCGTGGGCAAGGAACAACAATCAAAGGATAAAACCATTTGTTGAAGACAATTTTTGTGGGATCAGTGTTAATTGCCCTGCATATAGACATTGTCATTACAAAATAAGGATTTAACACAGTTAAGGGGACCTCTTTCAAGGATTTGAAATGAGCCTCTAAAAAGGAATATGCAGATGTATAAGGAAGGTGAAACCTACTATTAGTAACTACTGTGACAAAGCCAATATGCACAGGAACTCGTTAGGAGTAAGGTCCAGTGGACCTTACTCAGGCATGTAATTAATTCCATCCAGTTACAAATGAGCAAAGACATGAGGATATTCAGGAGTACAAGAAGTCCCAGACAGCTCATGGCAAACGAAGCAGGGCCCTGTTGACACGGCTGCAAGTGACAGACTAGCTTGGCCAGGGCTGCAGGCGGCTGGAGCCAGCAGCCAGCACCCTCCAGCTGTGCAGGGCTGAGGCAGCATCCACCCAGCCACCGGGTTGCTGCGGCTTATCAGCTAAAGCTGAAAGCCATCACAGTTGTTCTCTTAATATTGTTGTTGGTTTTGGCCATCCTAAGGTAGAGAGGAGGGGGCTAGGGTTGTAGAAGTGTATAGCTTAGCAGGTGCCAAGCTCAGATACAGATGACTCATGGCAGTTTTTGTAATTCCCTGGTTATTTTTGGTGAAGCAGCCTACTGTCCCGAGCTGTCGACAGCAAAACCTGCAGCAGACATCTTCTGGACATTTGTATCTCTAGGATCAAGTAGTTTAAAATGAAATGTTTACAAATCGATATCATTGACCCTACTTCTATGGGAAGTCACTCAAGAATGAAGTCTGAGGAAACAGCTTCGCAGCTGAAAATAGTCTTTGTGTTTCTACATTGATTCTTCTGACTGGCTGCATGAAAAACAATCAACTCCTCACATTAATGTAGAAGTTATAGTTCTCATTGGGTCCAGGCAGCCTCAAAGCAGATTATCTGATGTCCACGCAGCTAGAGGAAGAAACTAAATTTTCAAAGATTTTCTTGAATATTTTACTTAAGAGACTGCTGAACTTCAAAGCATGCTCCAAATAATTTAGAAAATGTGTAGGCTTTTCACTTGCCCTCTTTAGACATAATAAATATTTAGAGAAATCTTTTCAATCTAATGCAGAATATAAAGCTTTCTAGTATTTGTACATGGATGAAATAGATGTATGAACATACCTAGCTATGTGTTCAGTA